CAAGTGACGCTTCTCTATCAGGACCAATTCTCCTCATTTGAAGGCTACAGAAGGCTGGAAGGATTTTTTCATTACATAGGCCACACGAAAGGCTAGCTGACTGGTTTTGTTCAAGACTACTTTATTCTCATTAAAAAAACATATATCCTAAGATAATCAAAGCTCTCCATTGCTTTTGCAGGATTCTTGAAATCTATAAATCAGAATTTTGTGAAGTCTGTTTGGGATTATTTTATTGTCTTTTCATAAAGGGTTTTTATTGGGGGTGGGAGGCCAGTTTTTTCCCCTTGCTTCGTTGTCCTTTAAAAAATGCTAGCTGCTTAAGCACTATCAAGAAGAAATGAGGAAAAGCGTCTCCATAATTGATGTGTGCAGTCCTGGTTCCCAGGTACAGCAGGAACAATGAGAATAAATCTCAAAAAGATGAAAATGGAGCAGTCACTGGAAAAGGGCCACTTTTGCAACTACTGGTTCCTGCCATAACCACTAAACTCAGTCAGTCACCCACTCTCTTGGGATTTATGTGGACCATGTGTTTGGAAGTTTCCCCTTGGTGAGGCTGATAGGACAGGAGAGCTGTGACAAAAGTCTAAGATTGCTGTCACATTTGCTCATTTCCTTCTGAACAGGATAAACAGGCTGAATGGCCTTTCTGTGCAGGTCTGAAAGCCTATGGAGTCTTTCATTGCACCTGCTTAAGACACAGCCTCAGTTCTCTAACTGCAGTTGCAGGCTCTCAGAGCTCCATGTAGGATTATTTAGCCCCATGGATGAGGGCATCACCTTTACTGCCCATGACTCTTATCTGGTCACCTCTTATGTCCTATTGGTTCCATGTGCTGTGGTCTATCACCTCCATGGTTCTACAAAAATGTAAGGAAAATTGAAAGTGAGCCGTCTGGGTGAAAATCCAGTGAAAGAGGAGACTGAAAAGATGGAGGAAAATGTCTTCGTTCTCTTTGGAACCTAAATACTCTCCCCTCTTTTATGGAAGAGAAAGAGAAAGGAAGCCAGTTAATCTGGTGTGACCAGAGTATTTTTTATTCCCCAGAAACCTCATTGCTGCCTCCTAGTGAAAGTTTTAGAACTGAAAAGGAGCCACAGAGGAGAATTTAAGGGGGTGGGGGTGGGGGAGAGGGTAGTGAATTTACACAGACCCACAAACTTTTCCTGAGAGAGCATCTCTGTTTCTGATGGATGCATTTGTGATCAGAGGTATTACTGCGGCCACAAGGAAAATACAGACCCAGCTAAACTACACTACCAATGAGACTCTTGGCTAGATACTTACAGTCAAAAGGTGACAAACAAGACCCATTACACTTACAATTCTCCTCAGCTCCTTCTTCACTCATTGCTCCCTCACATAGACCATTCCATTTTCTATACCCTACGGTTTTTCAGGGTCAGGACAAAACTGCACAAGAACAAAAATAGAACACTCTATCACTTAGAACATAACACAGGAGGAAACTAAGAGTGAATTTACATTTTGACATGTATAATTGAACATGGCTTGAAAATTTACTTTGTTAAAAGCTCAACCAGATTCAAGCAAGAGGTTGATAACAGAGATGCCACACTACCTTCCTTTAGGTCACAACTTATTGTGAGAACTCTTCCCTTGGTTGAGAGGGGTGGTTGAGCCAAGAATATTGATCCCTAAAAATCCAACATTGAAATGTGTGAAATTCTTCTTGGTGAACAGAAAGCACACAAATGGTCATTTTCTTTTTATGACACCTTTGTTTTCCATAGTTCAACATTCTTGGACTTGAACTTTCAAATTCAGATCATTTGCTAGAATTAAACAGACAATATTGCAGTTTATACTGGAAAAACTATATCCAAGGAACTTTATGTATCTAATTTTTACAAGACACAGCATATAAAAGCATAAATTTCAATCATATATCCATTTTTCAATTTAACAATAATTTATTGCAGACTGAAAAAACTTAAACTTGAAGAACATAAAATAATTTAAAATACCAATATAAAATAAATTTCCTCAATCTTTACCATTATTTACATGTCAAGATTAATTAGATTCAACTTTATTCAGAATGTTTAGTGAATAGCAGTTGTTCATGTTTTGTGTCTCCGTACATATGTCCTTTGTGTGACAGTGGATAGTATTTTTGTTTCAAACCTATTATACAAGTTAGTAGGTTAAAAGCCCAGGGATGACAATTTTGTAGTTTATCATCACAAAACAGTATATTTAATATCCCAGTCTATGTAATTACACCTGCTAGTGTTTTAACACGGCACCACCCAGAGTCTGTGAATGACAGGGTGTCTTTCCAGAGCCTGTTAAACGAATAAGTTTAGAGAAATCAGTCCAATTGTTTTACCAGGGCATAACTGATACAAAATAAGCATTTGTAAATGTGACAGCCTAAGAAAAACACAAGCCCACACATATGTTACAGTTTTGTTATCACAACTGAGATTTTTTAAAAATCACTATTCTTTTATTAAAATGAGCAACAAAGTAAACCTAACTTTTAAATCAACATAATGATCTCAAACAGTTCTTATTCAAGTTCACAATTACAATCAATGTTTTGTTTTTCTATGTATGTGTGCTAATTGAACATAAATTGCAAAAAGTTATAGACGTTCCTACCTGCACAGACCACTTGGGTAGGTCAAATTCAAACTGTCTAAGAAAAAAGGCAAACAGGCTACTTTGAAAATTAGCCCTCCAGACATGTGCTACAGATCAAGAAGTGATGAAACGATGCTGTTTGATTTTTTTTTGGCATCATATCAATTATAAAGAAAAAACTGCCTAAGAACTAAGAAAGAAAGTTATGTGCAATAGCATAGAAAAAATTCCAGTGCAGAGTGATGGGTGTGTTTGACTTCTTTCAGAGAAAATGATTTGTACTTAGCAATTTTAAGCACCTTCGCCCTACTTGTGCATTTAAGTGAGATATTGTAAAGTTAATTGTACCTTAAAGAGATCAGTATGTAGATGGCTTTGGCGACCAGGATTAAAACAAAACAGAATTGTTAACGAGCTGTGTAGTCAGTCAAGGATGCATGCTCTCAGCCTAGACTAGTTCCTTTGCCCAAGGATTGTCTAGAGGATGCTCAGCCCGTACTGAGCTCTTTTTCCCTCCACTACCTCTGGCTGGATGCATCGCCAGCTCAAGGAATATCTGGACCTCCAAGGAAAGTAAGTACTTTCTTGCTACGAACAATCTCAAACATTTTCAAGGGTGCGTCTCCCCTTCTCCAGGCTCAACCCTCTTCCTCCGTAGTTCGCGAAGCTCTCCTGCGCACCTCTTTCTTTCTCCAGGCAGAGGCTCACGGAGCAGCCTTTGGGGGCCCTGCGGGACAGCCGCGGGTGACACCAGGGTTGCCAACGCCAAACAGTGCGCAGACTCTGCGGCGCGCGGCGGACTCTCCACTCGCCTAAACCTGCTCTCAAAGTGAAAAAGAGTGGGAGGAGGAGTACTGGGAGGGGGCGGAGGGCGAGCCTGTGAATTCGAGGTCCCGGAGGGTGTGGGAGCGGGAGGAGGTTCAGCTGGTCCCTCCTCCCTCCCAGAGTCCTGGGCTCCACCTCCTCCGCACGCCCCAAGATATACACACAGTCAGCGGCGGCTGGACATGCACACCCAGCGCCGGCCCCGGGCGCGTACCCACGCAGGTAACGACACTCACCTGAGCCGGTGCACTGGGTTCCGGCCGCCTTCGGAGCGGTGGAGTGGCGGCCAGGGCCGGGAAGGGCCCGCTGTGCTGCGGCAGTGGGGAAAGTGGGAGCAGCCCCAGCACAGACCTGCGAACTGAGGTGATGGCACGTTTTCCTTAAACCCCCTCCTCCAGCACATCGGCCCCCCCGCCCCTACTCGGCTGTGGCCGGAGATCCCCGGAGACCGGGGCCCCGGCTCCGCGCACACGCGGGCGCACGCTTCGAGGCCAGCGCTCCGAGAGGGGCGCGGGTGCGCCGGCGCCGGAAACTTGGGCGAAGTTAGTTGCAAGTGCCGGGCGGCGGCGACAGGAGTCAGAAGGGGAAAGCGGCGGGACCCGAGGCTGCAGCTCCCTCCACGCCTGGAGTGTTTCGGAAGCCCGAGTCAGCTCGGAGCCAGCATGGCCCGGGGGACAGCCCGACGCGGCGCCTTGGCGAGCCGGGAGAAATTCGTCTGAGCTCGGGCGACCCCAGGCTTGTTCAAGCTTCATCCGACCTGCTTTCCTCACTCCTCCTGAGCGAAGGCCGAAGAGAAAGCCTCGAGAAGCAGGTGCCGGGGGGAGGGAGGGGGACAGTCCCCCCCTCCAAAAAAAAAATCTCAGCCGATCGGAGGGTTCCCACCAGCGCGCCCTGCCCCGTCCGTATCTAGAAGATCGGCCTGTGCTCTATTTGTGTTTATATCCATCGCGGTGCTCGGCGTTCTCGTGGCTCACCCGGACCCTCCTCCGCCTCCCCCTCCTCTTCCTCCTCCGGGGCCACCCCCCTCCTCCCCCACCCCCATCTGCTTCTGTCAAATGAGAAAGTCACCGTGGAGAACCCAAACACTCCAGCCGCCGAGAGCCCCTTTGGCACTTGGCAGCACGCGGCGGCGGGTTCCTCGGCTCAACTTGGTGAAGCCTCCGCGACGCAACTTTCGGGGCTGCTTTGCTTTGAAGAGATAGAAGACAGAAGAGGGGGAGAGCTCTGCCGGGCAGCGGCTACTTGCGGGGAGATCGCCAGCCAACGTCACCGGAACAAGGACAAAAAGCAAGCGGAGGGCTAACCGCCACAGCAGGGTGGGGGTACCGCCGAGAAGTTCTAGTGTCCCGGAGAGGATTTTCCCCAGCGAGACCGAGGCGGCCAGGGGCGCAGCGCCGCGGCCCTGGGCTGCTCCTCCAGCCCCCTGTTCCCGCGCGGGAGCGACGCCGGGACGCTCGCCGGCCGGCGGAGCGGGTCCCCGCGGGCAGCCAACATTGATTTCCTCCGGGCCGAGGGCGAGGGCCCGGGCGGCGGCGGGCTGCAGCCGCGGCACGGTGACAGCATGTCCAAGCCGGTGGACCACGTCAAGCGGCCCATGAACGCCTTCATGGTATGGTCACGGGCTCAGCGGCGCAAGATGGCCCAGGAGAACCCCAAGATGCACAACTCGGAGATCAGCAAGCGCCTGGGCGCCGAGTGGAAGCTGCTCACCGAGTCGGAGAAGCGGCCGTTCATCGACGAGGCGAAGCGCCTGCGCGCCATGCACATGAAGGAGCACCCCGACTACAAGTACCGGCCGCGGCGCAAGCCCAAGACGCTGCTCAAGAAGGACAAGTTCGCCTTCCCGGTGCCCTACGGCTTGGGCGGCGTGGCCGACGCCGAGCACCCGGCGCTCAAGGCGGGCGCGGGGCTGCACGCGGGGGCGGGCGGCGGCCTGGTCCCGGAGTCGCTGCTCGCCAACCCCGAGAAGGCGGCCGCCGCCGCCGCCGCTGCCGCCGCGCGCGTCTTCTTCCCGCAATCGGCGGCCGCAGCCGCCGCCGCCGCCGCCGCCGCCGCCGCCGGCAGTCCCTATTCGCTGCTTGACCTGGGCTCCAAGATGGCAGAGATCTCGTCGTCGTCGTCCGGCCTGCCGTACGCGTCGTCGCTGGGCTACCCCGGCGCGGGCGCGGGCGCCTTCCACGGCGCGGCGGCGGCGGCTGCAGCGGCGGCCGCGGCCGCCGGGGGGCACACGCACTCGCACCCCAGCCCGGGCAACCCCGGCTACATGATCCCCTGCAACTGCAGCGCGTGGCCCAGCCCCGGGCTACAGCCGCCGCTCGCCTACATCCTGCTGCCGGGCATGGGCAAGCCTCAGCTGGACCCCTATCCCGCGGCCTACGCTGCGGCGCTATGACCCCGCGGGGCCGCCCCGCGAGGACCGGCGTGCACACGTGTACATATGTATAGGTACGAGCCCCGCGGCGCCCCGGGGCCCGCTTTGTATGTACATAAGATGTATAGATGCCAGGCAGTGAGGCAGAGATGCCAGTAGGGCGCGAGTGGCCGAGCGCGCGAGGGCGCGGGCGAGTGTGCGTGTGGATTTCACAGGATCGTGTCCGACCCGCACTTCGGCAGCCAACTTTATGTAGGAGGACGGTTGTGGCCGGCAGCAGTTGCTGTTTGCTTTGCACTTCGGAACCTGTTGCGTTTTTGACCCACAGAGGTGGAGGAGTAACTTATTGACATGTTGGGCTTTTCAGTTTTGTTCGTTGGAAGTTTTATTGTGGAGTTTGCTTTTGTTTCTCATTACCTTCTCCCCGCCCCCAGCCCTCCCCCCCTCCCCGATCTGTGTTGCATGCACTCTGATCCGATGTTGGGTCTGAAATGGCTGGCACCGAAAAAGGCTGACGATCTATCTGTGTCAGTAGTTTCTCAGAGCGGGACTGCTCTGAGCTGCCCAGCTTCCTAGTTGTACTATTTGAACTCTGCAGAGCTCTGTTCTCTCAAGCAGAACCCCCAGATCGGAGCCATTCTTGACCAGTGACCAGCTCAAATCTGGCCTTTTGTATGTGAGACGATCACGGTTTCTTTTGTTTATCACGCTATATGCAAATGAGAGCAAGCGCTCTTTCTCAAGAGCAAGAAATGCAAAGATATATGTGTGAGATGAAAGTTGTCACTTGGGTACACCCTCCCCCCTTAAAAATCTTCTAGAAGTCTCCCGAGTTCACTGGCTTGGGCTTTTGACACAGTTTACAAAACGGGAAGAGGCAGGGTTGCTGTTTTCCCCTTACGGCTGAGTTCACCTTGAGATTGTAAATGTGTATGTCAGTGAAAACATCCAGTCTTGGAAAATGTGTTATTTTTGTTGCCCTATTGGAGTCGTTTAGACTCAAAGCATTTTTGAGCAAATATCAAAGTTAACTTTTAAAAATTGCGGAACTATTTCGAGAATCGCGATTTTATCTAAGATTAAATCAGACTTTTTGTCTGAGTGGTAATTATATATTTATTATTTAGCAAAACTGAAAGAAGCACAGAATTTCATCTAGCATTTTTCTCCCTACTTGAATCGTTTTAACGTGTTTTGGAGTTCCCTCTCGAATTATTTTTTAGATCGCCTGCAATTCATTTGCAAATAATGAAAAAAACACATTTTAGGAAAAAAAAAGAATATTCCCAATTATAGCTTTTTTGTTTCTTTTTAAATGTATATATTTTGACTAATGTTTGTGAATGAAGTTGGCTAACATGTATTTAGTTTCATTTTGGCTTTATGTAATATAAAGTTTTAAAAAGTTTAAATATTGGTTTTAACTTTTATGTGTAAATGGTTTTCTTGTGTGACCTTCTAATTTAATATTAGACACGTCTAAGCTATATCTGTAAATTAGAATCCGACTATCACTCTGTTCATTTTTTTTGAACAAAGAGTTTAAATAAAGCCTGAACCAGGGAAAAGAGAAAATCCTCTATTTCTTGTTGAGTTCCGAACAAGATTTTTATCTGAATTGGCCTTACGGCCTGGTCCAGGTGAAGTGTAAGGAATCCTCCAAAGGCAGTCTTTGTTTCACTTTTGAATAGATTTACGAGGAAATCTAAATCAAGCCATTGTTATTCAGAGCCAAAAAAACCTGATTTATCACATTTTTAATCGTGAATAGGAAAGAAGATTAAAAAAAAAAACCCAAGTAGTTGCATTATCTTTAGAAAAAGAAAAAAAAAAATCATGAACCAGTAGAACAGTGCCCATTGAAAACATGGAGACTGTTCAAACCCCTCCACCAGTTTCCAGTAACATTTTAAGAGGGGAAAGTTGCCTGGCCACTTTATCTTCTTAGCAGAGGAACCCCACCTCTTTAATCAGGGTAATTTGTTCACATATCTTTGGGGGTATTTCATATTTACACCTTAAGGTTTTCTTTGGAAGGGTGATCACTGCCAACAGAAATGTGCAACTTTTGGCCTCCTTAATTCTGTTGTGCTAAGAGCACTAAACTTGCAGTGCAGTATGACAGATACTAATAAACAGAGCTGAATTTACAGGACTAGCAAATCTCCACTGGAGAAAAGCTTAAAATCATACAGGATTTTAGTTTTAGGGAGGAAATGATAGTGCACCAACGAGAATATCAGAAAAAAATTAAGGCTCCTCCCCAAAGAGATGGAAATTATCAAGATATTATATACACATCTTAAACTACTTTGACAGAGGCCATCTCTAAGAGTTGCATGTCTTTATAAGCAACCCGTCTTTAAAGTCATTGTTTTCTCCCAACGGAATAATATTTTAAAAACCATGAAAAGTTTGGGAAATGTGAGAAATAGGCTCTGCTGGTTTGACCCTGATTCACTAATTAAAACGATCCTTCTCCTGTTATTCCCCGAGCTCTTTGCAATATTATAAGTTAATT